CCTCGCGACGCTTCATCGCATCATCATTCGGCCGCCGTTACAACTCTTTTCACACTCGGTACGTTTGACTTTTTTTTTTTTTTTTTTTTTTTGCACGCTCATCTACAAATGTGTGGGAGGGACTCCATCACCGACGCTGACGCCGTGTGTACACAATCTTGCTGATAGATTCATGATACGAATAAAGCTCCTCCTGATGCAATACGATTCCCCACAATTTGGGTACGGTTTACTCCATTCAGATGTGATGCGAGTCACACTAATAGTCGTATGAGCCGATACAGAGCAATTTACTCCGATTTTGATAGCATCCAATACGATTCATCCCATTTCGGACACAATTCACGACATTTGATACAAGTTGATTCAGAATTTTGATGCAATCCAATTAACTCCACTTTACTCAAAATATGATTGCCGACATCTTTTAACCTCCTCCAGCCGACACATTGGCCATTAAACATTTAGCCCGTGTGACATTCGGAATTCCTGTCACGCGTCCAAAGACATGAAATATGTCAGCGTGCACTATGGCCCGCACGCTAAACGCACTAAAGCCTTGCGCGCAACGTCTGGAATATTTCACTAAGATTCAAGGAAAAATATGAAGTCAGAGAGCAAGAAGAAAACGATACCGAGCAGAATGTCTGTAGGCCAGGGGGCGTGTTGGGAATAACGTAAAGTGAAGTGCCTACATTTCACCCCGCTCACAACACACAAACATCAAATCCACTGTGTCATGTGCCTGCTGGATGCTATGCTAAATGTCACAGTTTAACATGGTGTCCTCAAACGCACCGACGAACACACACACACACACACACACACACACACACACACACACACACAGCGCACAAAAATGTATACTTTTTTTTTAAATCATCACAATCAGATGGGATTTTGGACTGAGGGTGATGAGGACCAAGCTGATAAAAAATATTAACCCTTTCAGGGACAGCGGTTACTTCAGTGGACAGCTTGTCATGTTATCAGTTTACAGATTTTTTAAAATAAATTTTTATTTTAATTTTCTAAGAATTTATCATTTTTATTTATTTTAATTTTATATTTTTTTTATAAATAAAATGTATTATTATTATTATTATTACAGGGTGCATGAAAGGGTTAATATATTTCTAACTATAAAATGCCATTGTAGAATTCTTATTCTTCTCTCTGTCTAATAGGAAAGTAGTTCAATATTGGTGTCAAAGAAATGTGTTGAAGTGAGAAGCTAAGTTAAGCAGCTGTGGTGTAATGGTGGTGGTGTTGTTAGCTGTAACGGGGTAGCAGCAGTGTAGCAATGGCGGCATAGCAAGTAGCTAGCTGCAGTGGTATCGCTAGCACTGACAACGTATCGATGTTGTGTTTAACGTAGGCTAACACAGATACTCAAGATTTAGATTTTCATTGATGTTTGTTGAGGTGTTCGTGGGCTGTAGGTTTGTTATTATTGAGTTGACATTTTTTTTTTGTGTAGGTGCATTTGTGTTGTTGATTGTTTGCTTTGTGTATAGTGTTGTGTTGTGGATTATTTTTGATTTTTGATTGTGGGTATGTTGATGATTGTAATTAATGATGATTGCTAACAGCGATGGTGTAACTGGTATTGGCAGACGTACGATGTAATATATGATGAGGTTAGCTATAGCATAACAGAGGGGCCACCCACCACCTCTTTTAACGAGCTCCCAATGTTGTCTTCGTAGCATCCACATGACTTGTCGCGCTAATACACGATAACGTCGTCATTTGAGGTTGCGGCGGCGGTGTGATGATGTTCAGGCCGTGTCATTTGTACAAGCTTGTGTTTGGGCTGCTAATGAGCGGGAAGGAGGGTAGGGATAAGGTGGGAGCGGGAGGGCGGCAGCGGGATACAGCTGGATGGAGGCTGAATAGGGTTACCATGGTAACTGTTGGCGAACATTTGAATGCACAGCGAGCTGGAGCAAAGCTGGGAGAGGAAGCTGCGATCCGTGTGTGCGTGTGCGTGCGCGTGCGTGCGTGCGTGCGTGCGTGCGTGCGTGCGTGCGTGCGTGCGTGTGTGTGTGTGTGTGTGTGTGTGTGCGTGTGTGTGTCAAAGGGTTAATGTGGGGTCGGCGGGTGACAAATGTGTGTGTTGGGGTGTGGGGGGTGAAGATGCTTGATGATGAGAGCAGCAGTCTAACGAGTCCTCCGCTGGGAACAAAGCATTAGAACAAATGTAGGACATGCTTGAACACCACATAGCAACGGTCACGTTAGTTGATGGCGATATTGTCCCCAATCTTCTGATTGTCTTTCGTCATACTGCAATGATCCCATATATCATGATACCGTATTGATATTATGTCATACTACAAAGGTTGACAGTACATGGAGGAGAATATTCGGATTACATGAACCGTGCTTAAAGGAGATACTCGAATGCCGCATTACAAATGTATCAATATCTTATGTTGTGTATCGATACTGTACCGATACCATTTATGATGCGATCGATAATTTGTCCCACCCCTACTGTTGACAAATCAATGTCAAATTTAAGAGCGCAACTTTCCATACTTGAATAGCATCCATACTGTATCTTGACAGGTAATGATACCTGTGATCATGACAATTATATTTTGTCCCAGCCTTTGTGTTGACGGTATTTGGAGAGTGTTGAACTTGTGAAGTTCACATACTTGAATGTCACATAGTTATCATAGTTGGCACATGGAAACTGTACATTTGATACAATACATTACGATATCTATACTTTGTCCCACATCTTGTACTGAGGGTATATGGAAACTCGGACATACATATTTTTCTATGTTGACAGTGCATGGAGATATTTGAATGTCGCAAAGCATTAGTAATGATATGTGATGTTGGTGTATCGACACTGTACTTTGACAGGTAACGACATCCTACCTGGATAAAGTAGAGTCATGCGTGCTTTCTAATATCAATACCTGGAAACATGTAGCGATACCTGACAACATGTATTAATACAATATATGTTGATATTGATTTTTTTCGTCTCGACAGTACTAAGTCAAACATTTCATGGCAGTAGGATCAATACCCAGCGTTGGTGTGCTGATACTCTACCAATCCCATACAATAGGGCAGTAGCGATATTTGAGCATTGCCAGAACAGTGAAAAGTTTAATGATCTTAGCATTTCATCAAAAATGATTATTGATCACACCAAAACTTCCCGGTAACTGCCTTCGCCCGTCAACTTCTGGATCAACCATTTCTCATTTTCTCATCGGCCTCCTTCTCATTAATATTCAAAATTCCTCTTTTCTTTCTCTTGTTAATCTCTCTCTCTATTTATACCATCTCTTTATCCCTCATCATCCTTTCTCTCCCGCTTCATGTTCACCCCCCCGCCCCCCGCGCCCACCCCCTCTTCGTCTTCCTCCTTTGTCGCTGCTCAGTATTCATCCATTACGCCGTTGATAATTCCCTCTTCTTCCACCTCCTCCTTTTCCTCCATCCATCAGATTAATAATCCTTCGCTCCTTCCTCACCTGGCGGTGTCAAACTGGCATCATTAAAGTCGTCGGCGTCCATAAAAGATGTGAAATTAAACCTGTCTGAGACTGTAGCGGGGAGGCCTGCGCAGGGCCAGGCCACCTGCCGGCATTTCCATCCAGGACGCTAACGCTGTTAGCGTAGCTGTACTGTAACGTAGACTGCGGCAGGCAGGCTAGCATCTTCCCCGAGGCTAGGAATTAGCATTTTAGCTTCCTTTTGTGCTTGTGGTTTGTTGGCAGTTTCGTTGCTTTAGGCTGGGAAGGATGACACGATTAAGAAAAGAGAGCGGACGGTTTGTTTGGAAATCAGTTTGTTGGTGTGTTTCAACATTTACAAGAAATGGGGTCCCGAAGTGTATCAACCTTCCTCATTCAGTCAAACCAGTCTGACTTTAGGATTGTTAGGCCTTGGTGGAAGTCTGCCAAGAACAATTACGTCTGTTTGACACAATCGTTCCCGAAGATCTTTTTGTCTTTGGTAGAGATCTAAATGCCTGCATTGTTTATTGTGTTGAAAGAAAAGGCTTTGATACGCTCTCTTCTTCCTCTTCTTATTCTCATTTTGCTTTTCATCTTTGTTGTTCCGCCATGGTGACTCCCGGGCTTTATGTTCCCCAAACAACTCGAGTGCCGGGAAGAAAGGGAATAACATCTGCCTATTTGCGGCGCTGTATGCCACCCCTAAAAACTGCAATTTTTTTAAAATGTTTGGGGTGACCATGGGAGAATTAGTCTAAAATGGCTTCTTAAAACAAAATGCCCGATTTTCTGTCCAGTTCCGGGCGTGGTCCTTTTAGCCTTTTTTAATTTATTATTATTATTTTTTTTTGCATTCCCTCTTGACAGACTTGCATACCCAATTTCATGTCCATCTGTACAGCTGTTTGCTCGCTTTTCAGAGGCATACCAAGAATATGCCTAAAATCGACAGTTCAAATCAGAATGGCTGACTTTTTGTTCAGTTTTAAACATTTTTGTGCATCCTATCATGACAGCTCTCCTAACACCAGTTTCACCGATTGGAGATTAATTTGGTGGGCATGTCTAATTCTGTTTTAGCTTTACAGGAAACACATCTGAAAGAATTCACCCGAAATGACCATTTCGTACCAAAATGTCAAAAATTTTTTTCATTTTGTGGCATGGGTCTTGTTCTAGTAGACATGTCAACCCATTTTTGTGTTGTTTGTTTGAAACTGCTTTCTTGGGCTGTTTTTTTTTTTGTTTGTTTGTTTTTTTTACTTTCCAGGAGAACGTTTGGGGAATTGTTCCCAAATGGTTGCTTCAAAGCAAAATGGCCAACTTTCTGTTCAATTCCAGACATGGGTCCCGGAGACTTTTTTCGTGCATCTTATTAAACCATATTCTGTGTCCATTGGTGAAACTGGTGTTTGGGGCATGTTTTTTTTTGTTTTGTTTGTTTGTGTTTATGAACCATCCCTAAAATATGTAAATTTCCTTCTTCTTGTCTTTGTTGTTTATCCTCAGTGACTCCCTGTTTCCCGTCCTCCCCAAACAAGCGTCGGCAGAAAGGGAATAACATCTGCTTATCTGCGCCGCTCTATGTTCCCACGGCAAGCGAGAGAAGAAGCCCAGAGATCGGCAGCGGCGCCAAAGCGGCAGAGGCGCGATGCGGGATTAAGGAGCGTCGGATTGGGATTAAGGAGTGCGGCGGGATCCCCCGAGGCTTTTCCGGACACGTGGGCCGCACCTTCGGATCGCAGCGCCGGGTCATGACCCAGTTGCCATGCGCATCGCCACGCTGACCTGCCTTCCCGGCCCTTCTTCCCCCTTCCTCTTTGCGCTGCTCTACTCCCTGTTGGCGCTGGTGGTGTTGGTCACCTCGTCCTCATCCTCGTCGTCCTCGTGCCCGGGCCGCTGCACTTGCTCCAACCAGGCCAGCCGCGTCATCTGCACCCGCCAGAGCCTGGACGACGTCCCTGACAGCATATCCGTCAACACCAGATACCTCAACCTACAGGAGAACGCCATACAGGTGAGCAGGCGTGACGTGGTGCCTTCAAGGACACGCCCCAGTCGTGGTGTTCAAGAGTGATGGCTCCAAAAGTCTTAAAATGTTTTGTCTCGCCATCTTTTTGCTTTACCTGTCGACAGCGGGGTCACCAACCGTTTTGAAGCTGAGAGCTACTTCTTAGGTACTGATACACACTTCTGAAATAACAAATCTGGAAAAAGGAAACAGATAAATATCAAAGTTCAACACTGCCAAAACTCAAATTTGTAAATGATCACACGGGAAATCACAATGTCCCATGCCTGGTGAGCTATTTTTAGAACAGCCAGGCACCACGCTGGTGACCCCTGGTCGACTCTATCTATGCGTCAAGTCAGGTGTTACCTTCAGGGACAGTCTGAAATCGTCACAAGTCTCACCCGAACTGCGTGAGTGGTCCAAATTCCCCGGCAGCCCCGCTGTCACAAAAATGCGCCACACTCTGCGTTTATAAAATATTCCCTTCGTTCTCTGGCAGATTAAATATCATTCATTCATTATTCCGGCTTCACTTTTCCGTCTGCTTTCCTGTCTCAAGTGCAGTTTGAAAAAGTGAACATTGACAAGTTAATCCTAAAATCCTGCATTTGCCCAATGACTTATAAAAAACGTTTTTTTGTTTTGCGGTCGTGCGCATAAAAATCCTCCCCCCCGGGAGAAATATGCATGGCACTTATTGACTGGCGGCGATAAACAATACCATCAGACATGTTCCAATTAAGAATTTATACATTACGTATCGACTCACAAACGGCTCACTTTTGCTCGCTCGCTTGATTGCAAACCACGCAGATGATTTCAATTAAAAAGTAGCTCGGGGTTTACGAGAGAAGTAATTACGAACATGTCGGTGGGGGGGAAAAAAAAGGTTGTGATTTATGATGATAGCTAGGCGCTTTGTATTGCAGTACCACCTTCTTCCTCAGGAGGCAGCGTTGAACTCTGGCTTTCGAGAATGCTCTTTTCAACTGCAACTCATGCGAATGAGACTTGTGTGAACAATCTCTTTTGACAGAAATCGCCACTGAATTTTGTGCTATTCTCTAAATAGGCATTCTGTCCTGATAGGTATTCTCCACCAAATTTCAGATCGTTTTAGTGGAACTTGCGTCACGGAAATTATAGCCAAACTCCATATGGTGCAATTTTTGGGGGTGGTTCTGCCATTGACGTCCCTTTTTCTGACATCTTTGAAACTACTTCAGCAAGCTGCCACATGCAAAAAGACTTAAAAAAAAAACCCACAATATTAGTTTTCCTTTGGAGCGGATACATTCCGATTCGCTCGCTCGTATCCCGCAGCTCCTCTTGAAATGATTAGAAAATCTAAAAATGTTTCAACACCTGAAGGCATCCTAGATTCTCCGGCTTATTTTTTTTTTCTTTGCTTGGCTGAGGACCCTTGCGGTGAAGCCTTGACAGCTCCCACCCCCTCGCTAAAACACCCCACCAGCCCTGCAACAAGCCCTCAACACCTCCCTCCCACTTCCTGCTCTACATTTGGAGGCGGAGGTGGCACTCCGTGTCGTGCGCATAAAAATCCTCCCCCCCGGGAGAAATATGCATGGCACTTATTGACTGGCGGCGATAAACAATACCATCAGACATGTTCCAATTAAGAATTTATACATTACGTATCGACTCACAAACGGCTCACTTTTGCTCGCTCGCTTGATTGCAAACCACGCAGATGATTTCAATTAAAAAGTAGCTCGGGGTTTACGAGAGAAGTAATTACGAACATGTCGGTGGGGGGGAAAAAAAGGTTGTGATTTATGATGATAGCTAGGCGCTTTGTATTGCAGTACCACCTTCTTCCTCAGGAGGCAGCGTTGAACTCTGGCTTTCGAGAATGCTCTTTTCAACTGCAACTCATGCGAATGAGACTTGTGTGAACAATCTCTTTTGACAGAAATCGCCACTGAATTTTGTGCTATTCTCTAAATAGGCATTCTGTCCTGATAGGTATTCTCCACCAAATTTCAGATCGTTTTAGTGGAACTTGCGTCACGGAAATTATAGCCAAACTCCATATGGTGCAATTTTTGGGGGTGGTTCTGCCATTGACGTCCCTTTTTCTGACATCTTTGAAACTACTTCAGCAAGCTGCCACATGCAAAAAGACTTAAAAAAAAAAAACCCACAATATTAGTTTTCCTTTGGAGCGGATACATTCCGATTCGCTCGCTCGTATCCCGCAGCTCCTCTTGAAATGATTAGAAAATCTAAAAATGTTTCAACACCTGAAGGCATCCTAGATTCTCCGGCTTATTTTTTTTTTCTTTGCTTGGCTGAGGACCCTTGCGGTGAAGCCTTGACAGCTCCCACCCCCTCGCTAAAACACCCCACCAGCCCTGCAACAAGCCCTCAACACCTCCCTCCCACTTCCTGCTCTACATTTGGAGGCGGAGGTGGCTCAATTCCAGGAGTGTGTGTGTGTGTGTGTGTGTGCGTGTGTGTGTGTGTGTGTGTGTGTGTGTGTGTGTGCGTGCGTGCGTGTGTGCATGTCATATCAAGATTAGGCAACACACATACACTCACAGACCCCCAAAGTGGAACGGAATCCGTTCTGTAACGCCGCTTCATGGTAAATCCTTGGTCGTGTCATTGCTGTGTGTAACCAAAATTTGGTGGCATCGGCAAAAAAAAGCATGGCAATTTCAAGTTCATTCGGGTGAATTCCCTTCGTAGGACTTTGTCAAAGTACAAGTCCTGAAATTCACCTCCAATGGCTGCTTTAAAAACAAATGGCCAACTTTGTGCAAAATTTTGGCCATGGTTCCTTGAGGCTTTTTTTGTTGTGCGTCTGGTTGTGATTGACACATCCACTTTATCTTGTAATATTTCATGAAGTTGTTGTGGGGTTCATGTGTCAAAAGTAAGTGATTAATCGACAACTAAAACTAATCAACAGCTATTTTAGCCGCCGCGTTACCGTTTAGAGCCGTTGTTAAAATTGATTTCAGCATTGAGATTTTTGTGGTCTTTCATCAAATCGAATCGATTCTCTTTCGATTCCTAAATTACAAAACAATTCCACAGGAGGCAGGCGTGCTCCGAAAAGGACCGTTTTTTGGAACATTGAGAACCCCAGTACGTCAGTATCAACTCCTACCGCCTACCGTAGTTCTTGATCTTAAAAATCCAACGTAGCAAGCAAAACTCCTCTGTGAAGTTCCACCGACAGAGACCATCACTTTCCTAACGTCGTCTTTTCACCTGGCAGGTTATCAAGTCGGACACCTTCAAGCACCTGCGACACCTGGAGATCCTCCAGCTCTCCAAGAACCAGATCCGTCAGATCGAAGTAGGCGCCTTCAATGGCCTCCCCAACCTCAACACGCTGGAGCTGTTTGACAACCACCTCACGCTGGTGCCATCGCACGCCTTCGAGTACCTCAGCAAGCTGCGTGAGTTGTGGCTACGCAACAACCCCATCGAGACGCTGCCGGGCTACGCCTTCCACCGCGTGCCCTCGCTGCGCCGGCTTGACCTGGGGGAACTTAAGAAGTTGGACTTCATCTCGGACGCCGCCTTTGTGGGCCTGTTCAACCTGCGTTACCTGAATTTGGGGATGTGCGGACTTAAGGACATCCCCAAGTTGACGGCCCTGGTGCGGTTGGAGGAGCTCGAGCTGTCAGGGAACCGGCTGGAAATCATCCGTCCCGGGTCCTTCCAGGGTTTGGTTTTACTCCGAAAGCTGTGGCTCATGCACTCGCAGGTGTCGGTCATTGAACGCAACGCCTTCGACGATTTGAAGAACCTGGAGGAGCTCAACCTGTCCCACAATTCCTTACACTCACTCCCGCACGATCTGTTCACGCCGTTGCACAAGCTGGAGCGGGTGCACCTGAACCACAACCCTTGGGTATGCAATTGCGACGTGCTTTGGCTCAGCTGGTGGCTGAAGGAGACGGTGCCCAGCAACACCACCTGTTGCGCCCGCTGCCACGCGCCTCCCTTCCTCAAGGGAAAATACATCGGCGAGCTGGACCAGAGCCACTTCACCTGCTACGCGCCCGTCATCGTGGAGCCGCCCACCGACCTCAACGTCACCGAGGGCATGGCGGCCGAGCTCAAGTGCCGCACCAGTACCTCCACCACGTCAGTCAACTGGATCACGCCCAACGGTACTCTGATGACCCACGGCTCGTACCGCGTGCGGATCTCGGTGCTGCACGACGGCACGCTTAACTTCACCAACGTCACCCTGCGAGATACGGGCCAGTACACCTGCATGGTGACCAACGCGGCCGGAAACACCACGGCCACCGCCGTGCTCAATGTCACCGCCGCGGACGTCAGCGTCAACTACACTTACTTCACGACGGTCACGGTAGAAAGCGTGGAGACTCCGGGAGAAGAAGAGTCTGCTCTGGTGGCTATCAACGAGACCTTCATCAGAGTCCTCCCGGTACCGACCCCGTCGGGGCATCTGTGGCCAGACAGCATCCCAACGACGGTCTCCTCACTCTCCATCGACTGGTCGTCCCCCCGCGCCACCCGGCCCACCTTCACTGTGCCCATCACAGAGCCGGGCTTTTCTGGCCTCGACGACGTGATCAAGACCACCAAGATAATCATCGGCTGCTTCGTGGCCATCACTTTCATGGCAGCGGTGATGTTGGTGGTCTTCTACAAGCTGAGGAAGCAGCACCAGCTCCACAAGCACCACGGGCCGGCCCGGGCTATCGAGATCATCAACGTGGAGGACGAGCTGAGCGGCGGGGCGGGCGGCCGGGGCGGCGGAGGTGGCATCTCAGGGGGCGGTGCCTTGACGCAAAGCAGCGGAATCGGGGGCGGCCAGAGTCTGAGGCGCCACCATTCGGACGTGGTCACCCTGCCACACTTGACCCGTTCGGAGCACCTCAACTACTACAAGACGCACCACTTTGGCAACAACATGGTGGGACTGGGTGTCAACAACAACAACAACCCACTGCCTTGCTCACAGAACATGACCATGTCCTATTCCCAAGTGGGCGGCGGCCTGGGGACCTGCGGCACCCTGCCCACACCGGTCCCGCTGCCCCAGCTGAGCCTGCACAGCTCCCTCAAGGGCCTCATGGCCAAGGGGCAAAACGAGCCTCTGCTTTTTAAGAGCGGCTCCAAGGAAAACGTACAGGAGACCCAAATCTGATGGAAATCGGAACACCCCGTGTAGCCCCACGTCGTCGTTGAAGGTGGGGCTTCATCTGCGGACGACCGCTTCCCCCGCCCCCTCCGCCTCATCGAGCACACGCTCCCACCCTCATTCAGGTGACAAGCAGCTCTAGTTATTGCCAAAGTCCCAAGTCAAGCCAACTGAATGGACGCCGCAATTTTTTGTGGATTATTTCTACGGACCGCACGGCTGGTCGGAATAATGGAATGCATCTCCACGTGGCTTCATGGACAAACCAGAGCTAAAAAAAAAAAAAAAAAAAAAAAAAAAAAAAGAAAAAAAAAAAGGGGGGAAAAAAAAAAAAAAAAAAGAATTTAAAATTATTAATAT